CCAAATCCCAAATACTAGTAATTTGGGATTTTGGCGTCCCAAATCCCAAATGATTTGGGATTTGGGCAACACATATATTTTATATATAGAAATTATTGATAATTTTTCTGAAATGACAAAATGATCAACAATAATTTTGATTGTTTTTTAGTTATGTCTAAGTAAAGTTTTGATTTTAACTAAAAAACAGCAAATATGATATTAATAAACATTGTATACTTAGTTTAGAGCTACAAGTCCTTATAAGATGTATTATATTTTCAGTAGATATTTATGAAAAACGAAAGACATTACAAATAACAATTTGATTTGCAATTTTTGAATAACTTTATTTAAGACAAGATTTCTGTTCAAGCAAGTATCCAATTTTAACAAAAAAGATATTATATAATAACCATTGATTAGGGGATCTTTTTAAAAAAAAGTTTATATAATTTAAATTATTCCTTGTGTCACAATTTGTCTTTGAATTTTATTGATAAATTTGATAAAAAAAAGTTACCCAGATACTTTTGGCAAGTTGGTGTATATATTTTTAAATGTATTGTAAAAACTTGTATTATATAAATTTAATAAAGTTTCATATTATATATATATATAATACAATATTTCATTTTTTATTTTACTTCAATAATTCTTTCTTTTTATTATTAATTATTAGTTTCATAAAGTTCAATACGTAGGAATTTAATTAATAGACAATTAATGTATTGAAAAATTGCATATAATAATTAATATTTATAATATATTATTACATATGTGAAAATATTCGATAATACTACTTTTCATTTTTAAATTTTATGTAATTATATATTCTAAGAATTCGCGATAATTAGGATTTAATATCATGATGTGTTTCAAAAGGAAGGAAGGGAGGAGGGATTAACATCTAATGAAAGATAATACTAGTAATTTCGATATGTATCGAATTAATAAATGAAATATGATGAAATATTTAGAAAATATTTGAAATATTATTAAAATTTGAGAAAATGGGATGGCTAAAAAATGTATATAAAGAATTGAAATTCTTTTAACTTCACTATAAAAATTTTAAAAATATTTGCAAATAAATAAATATTAAAATAAATTCTTATTAAAAATTTTTGAAATATCACAAAAAATTTTAATTAGATTTTATCAAAAAAAAACAAAAAAAAAATAAAGGAAGAATTTTTAATCTTTTATTTGGAAGATCAAAAAAAAGGAACGAGATATTGGTAACAGTATCTACTCTAGTAACAGCATCTACTCTGGCAGTAGTAGAAATATCAACATCATTTATAAGAGAAAGGGGGAAAGTGAAATGGAGGATGTATTAATAAGATCATTTGATAAAGAATCATAGGAATTATCACTAACTCGTACAACTAAAAGAAGAAGAACTGAAGAAAGAAGGGAAGAACAGTATTTCAATGGTAATTTTCAAAAAATTTCAAAAAATTTTAATAAAAATATTTTACAATATATAATTTATTTTATTAGGAGAAAAATCTCTGTCAACAAGAAAAAGAAAGTAAGATCATGTATTAAATTATTTAAAAAAAATTAACAAGAAAGTTGGAAACCTTCGAAAGGAAGTTTTAGATATCTAAAAAATGGTGAAGAGAAGTAAAATGATGAAAAAAAGTGATAATATGTATAATCCAACATTTATTAAAGTAAATATTTTATTTTATTTATTTATTTTTATAAAAAAAATTATTTCATTTATAATATTTTGAAAAAAAAGAAAATTGTTGAAGAAATCGTAAGCAAGTTAATCAAAAACATATATTTGAATGATGATACTCTTAAAGTAACTACAGCAAGTTATTTAATAAAAAAATATTCAGAACTTTTTGAAAGCTGGAAAAATAATCACTAGATATTTTATTATGATTTAATTCTTAAAAGAAAAGTAAGTTTTACTGAATATATTATAATCTAGATATTTCAACAATTAACAAAAGATTTTGAATTATTTTAAAGTTAAAAGAAAAACATCGGTCTAGAAGAAGGGTGCTATCTACCCAAATCAAATATTCTATATTTCTTGTATTTAGAAATCTTCTGAAAATAAATATGAAAGCAACTTCAAGTAAGATAAAAGTTTGGAAAGAGTTACTGATTGTTAAAGAATATTATAAAAAGTCACATTCAAAAATAACAAATAATGAAGATGAAACCTGGTACGAAAAAATAATTAACAAAATATAAGAGGACAATAATAAAAATATTAAAAATGATAGTAAATATTTACATAAGAGATTGAAAAAAAATCTAATAAGTATTAAAAATTAGGGATGCAGGTGAAACTAAATCTTTAAGTTGTACCAAATCTCACCATTCACCAATCACCAATCCTCATTGGGAAAACTGATGATTTGGTAAAATTGGTGAAACTGGTGGAACTGGTGATATTGGTGAAAACTGGTGATATTGGTGAAACTTTAGTACACCATTGTTTCACCAGATATAAATTATCACGGACTTTTTTTTTTAAACATTAGAGGTAAAAATAATTTCTCGAAATATGTTAATTTTGATTGGTTGATTTTGTACAACATTATTAATTAAATTATAATCGTTTAATAATTTATTAATATCATTATTATTTTCAACAATGGGTAGAAATAACTTGTTAGTTAAATAACAATATATTCTTCTATTTCTTGTGAAATAGAATTATCAATAGGTCGAGTTCATATAACATTAGATCTTGGTGTTCGTGATAGTTGTGGTGATGTGTGATCTTGGAGAGGATGATTTTGTTCTAGTGATGTGTAATTGGTATGGTATTGAGGATAAAGTCTAATGGAGATAATTTCTATTGTTTCTGTCTTTGTTGTCTCTATTGCTCTTCAAGTTGTTTTCCATATTATTATTCTAATCGTAATTGTTCCTTTTTTTCTTGAAATCGTGAGAATATTTGTTGTATTATTAGAATTATTTCAATGTTGTCTTTGACAAGGTTGTAGTATGTAGAAGAAATCTCAAAGTCTGGAGAAGATAAGGTTATTATATTTATTGTTGTCTGGTTTTCTTTAAATCACTGGTATATTTCTCTTTCTAATTGGAATCCTTCTTGTTCCTGAAATCAGCAATTTCGACATTCTTCTTGCCAAAGGTTTTCTTTGGTACTCTTCTTGAGGTAGGTTCTAATTTTGTTTATTGTGATTGTGGTGTTGCTAGATTTCCAGAATAATCTTCCCTTGGTATTTCTCTTAATCTTTCCCAGAGTTATTTGTTATTCAAAGATGTCGTGGTTTCCTCTTGTTATTCCGTGGTTACAGGTGGGTCTTCTTCCTCTAATTGTTGATGTGTTCAAGATTCCTTTGTTATTTTCTAGTTCTTCTTATACAAGACACTTGGTGCTATCATTGTGGAGTGTGATATTTGCAGTTTCTTTGGTGATTATGTTATTCTTGGTAACCTCTTCTTGTTGTATAGAATTTTAAATTGTTCTCTTTTCCAATATCAAATTTCTTGAAGTGTGGTGTCTCTATATTAAGTGAATAGTCTATCAGAAGCTTCTTTTCTTGAGGTATAGGTATTAATACTCTTTCTTGGGTTTTCACAGATTATAGGAATAAGTTTTCTTCATCATTACTTTCAGGTTTTTTATTATTATTTTACCAACAATTAATTTATTTAATCTAATTCTAATAATTTATATTATTTTTGCTGTGAGTTTAACTAAAGGAGAGGTGAAGTAAGGAAATGTGAAATCACGAAAATGGAGTGTATTTAGAAATATAGAAGAACAAATTAATTGTTTCAGGTATTTAACAATAAAATAAAAATAAATTAAAGTTTATTAATTATAGAATAATGTTAGGGAGACGAAGAGAAGATAAAATAGGGGAGAAGGAAATAAAAAAAACTTCTTTCTAAATAAGAATAAATTTATAATAATAAAAATTAACTTTTATTAATTAAAATTATTGCTTATCTCAAATAATTGAAATTGTTGCTACGTATTTTTTCTAATAAATTTGTATTACACTAATTAGTTGTGAAAATTTTTTTTTTACTTAAAATTACGCGAAAATAAATTTAAAAAATTTTTAATACAATTATCATAATGTCTAATGATTTAAATAGACAAGATGAAGATGGTATTGGTAGCTCAAGTAATGATTTATTTTATACAAGAGAAATGTCTGATATTTTATATTTTATAGAAGAAAATGAAGAAAATGAAAATTATTATACACAAGATTTATTAAATAATTCTTTAAATAATTCTTTATCAAATAATTCTTTAAATAATTCTTTATCAAATAATTCTTTAAATAATTCTTTATCAGGTAATTCTTTGAATAATTCTTTACCAAATAATTATTTATTAAAAATAATGTCAAATAGAACAAAACAAAAAAAAAGAAAACATGCTGGAGATAAAAAAATAGGAGAAATATGGAATTATTTTAAAAAAGGTGCAGATTTAGGGAGGGGAAATTATGAAGCAGAATGTAATTGGTGTAATAAAAAATGGTCAAGAGGACATCCAAAAGATATGAAAATTCATTTAGTTAGAAATTGTGAAAAGGTATCTGATGAAATTAAAATATTTTGGTAAGAAGTTTTATTAGAAGAAGCTTCAAATATTCATCCAAAAAATATAAAACAACCACAAATTACAAAGCATTTTGATAGTACTACTTCCATACCTATTACAAAATCAAATGAAATTAATCAAGCATATACTTGCACGTAAAATTATTTTGGGATCTCGAAATTACAATTTTGAAGAAAAAAGTTGAAATAGTTTATCATAGAAGACGAAATTATTTTACTTAAAATCTAAAATTTTTTGACCACCCAAATTTATTCTTTGATTAAAGATACATATAATTAGGTATTTTTTTTACTTCTATATATAGAATAGATTTTGCATAAATCTCAAAAAGTCGAAATACCTCAAAAATCCAAAATCAATTTTGGGAACATGTATAATCAAGCACTTATTAAAGCATAGGTTTGTTGTGGATTTCTATTTCAAACAATTGAAAATTTATTTATCATTGATTTATTTCGAATTACTATTTCAGGATATATTTTACCTTCACGTACTATTCTTTCTGAAAAATTATTAGATCAAGAAACTATACGAATTGAAAAAAAAATTGAAAATGATCTGAAATATAGTAATTATCTCACTATTAGTAAGTATTATTAATATTTGATAAATAAATTAATTTTATTATTCTTGTGATGTTTTTATTTTAATTTATATAACAAGTATTAATATAATATTTAATAATTTATATCTTAAATCATATTTTATTTTAAATTAATTATTATTATTATTAGGTCTTGATGGATGGATTTCTTCAAGACATGATTCAATTTATAATTATCTTGTTACTACATCAACAAGAAAAGAATATCTCATCAAGCTTAAAAATTATAATATAAAAAAACAAACTGGTATATTTATGGCAGAAGAAATTTAAAAAATAATGCAAAATATTGGAATAGAAAAATTTATAGCAGTTGTAACTGATCATGGAGCAAATTTAAGAGTTGCTTGATGAATTATACATGAAAAATATCCTTTTATTCTTGATTTAAGATGCATGGTACATGCAATTAATTTAGTTGCTTCAGATTTTACTAAAATAAATTCAGTAAAAAAAATTATTTCTAATTATAATAGTATTATTAGATTTTTTAAAAATTTACATGTTGCTTATGGTTATTATAAAGAACAATTAAATATAATGAAAATTAAAGGAGGTGAAATTCAATCTTATTGTAAAACAAGATGGAATATATTATACACTACAGCTGATTCTATTATATGATCCAAACCAGTATTTAATTGGATAAAATTATTTTCAAATTTGTTATTTATATATTTATAAATATATTGTATACATATTTAAATTCTTTATTTTTTTATTCAGATTTTAGAAAATCATTCTTAAGTAATTACAAATAAAACTGTATTTGCTTTACTTCAAAATGAAGAGTTTTATTTTAATTGTCATTAAATAGTATCTATTCTTAAACCAGTAAAAGAATTAACAAATATTCTTGAAGCACGAAATACAAATTTAGCTGATTGTTTTATTGGATTAATAAAACTTGGTGCAAAAATTAATCAAATTCAATTTGGAAATCAATGGAAATCTATAATTATTTCAAATTATAATTGTCGTTTGGAAGAATTTATTAATAATATAAATATTTTGACATATTGATTACATTTATTATATAGAAGTAAATTTTATTTTTTTAAAAAAAAATTTAAAAATTTTTAATTAATACAAAAATTAATTATATTAAATTATAGGTTTTGAATTAAAACAAGTAGTATTAAATAAAATATATGAAACTGCATCAATTTTATGGTATGATTTAAATAATAGTGAAGAATCATGTCTTAAACTTTTATTGAAAATGAGATCTTGAAAAAGAAAAAGTGTACCTTATAATCTTAGTTTTAATAGTTTTCCAGAAACACCAATGAAATGATGATTAAGTATTAATATTCAAGAAAATGAAACTGATTAGTTACAGGAGTTGACATTATTATTATTTTCTATTGTTCCATCACAAGCTGTTTGTAAAAGAAATTTCTCTATGCTCAAGTAGTTTTTGGAAGAATGACATACAAATTTAACTTTATCAAAAATTAAATCTATGGCAAAGATTCGCTCCTATTACATTTCCAATACTGATAAAGAAATCTGATATCGTAATAAGAATTTAAGTGAAAATGAATTACGTAAAAGTATTAATGAGTTTATAATTACATATGATATATTTGAAACAAATGAAATTTTAGAAAGAGATAAAAATTTGGAACAAAAAAATTTAAATAATAATGAAAATTTAAATGAATTAGAAAATATAGAAAATGAATATATATCATCTACTATATTAGATATAGATCAATTTGTTAACTTAACATTACCTGAATTTTTATCTACAGGAAATAGTTTATTTGAATTTATTACTAATAGATCAAATATAATAAAAGAGATGAAAGAAGTAATATGGAATATAATTTAATTAGATTAGCACAAAGAATATTAAATGAGAAGAATAGTTAAAATAAAAAAAAGTTATTATAATAATTTACATTAAATAAAAATTTTATTATAATTCACATTATTAATAAATAATAATTAAAATAAGACCTTGTACAATATTTATAAATTACAAAACAGAAATAATTCATCATCGTTACAACTATACTTACACGCAAAATTATTTTGGAGCCCTGAAATTGCAATTTCGAGAAAAAAAGTCGAAACAGTTTTTCATAGAAGACGAAATTATTTTACTTAAAACCCGAAATTTTTTGATCACCCATATTTATTCTTTGATTAAAGATACATATAACTGAGTACATTTTTTACTTTCATATATAGAATAGATTTTGCATAAATTTCAAAAAGTCGAAATACCTCAAAAATCTAAAATTAATTTTGGGAACATGTATAGTTACAATGTAATAATTTTTTATTTTATTAAGTAAATATCAAATTCTATAATAAATGAACTGAAAGATAAGAATGATTTGCATCTCCTGTAAAAATGTCAGACCTATATGGTCTGGTACAAAAAGATTTGCTTTTCAATAAAATGTTAATAAAATTTTTTTTTATTAAGTAAATTTTTTTTTTTTATTTAAATTATATCAATACATGTTCAGAAGTATAAAATATAAATTTTAAATAAAATTTATACATCATTATCAAAATCATCATAATTATTAGATTCTTCATCAATTAATTACATATTTTCATCAGACTTAAAATATTCCTTGACATTTTTAAGTACTTTTCTCCAAAATCCAACTATAACTTGTGAATTAATTTTATTTTTAAATACATTTAAAAGTGTATTTCGAATAGATAAAAGATTTGTATGTGAACCCGAACTTGCAACTTTACCTTTTACAACCACCCAAACACCTTCAATTGGCTGAAGTTCGCAGTGATAAGGAGGAGTAAAGAAAACTTGATAATTGTATTGTTTTACTATTTCAACACATGAAAATGGTACCTTTTTTTTATTTATTCAAACTAGTTCAAAAAGTTCTAGTCTACGTAATTCGTTAGAAAAAAAAATATTATGGGTAATTAGTCAATCAACAATTTCTTTTTTTTTCACATTTGATATTGGAATATTTTCAGTTCATCGTTTATAATAACTTGCTCCATCCATATGAATATCTACAGACTTATAGTTTTCATGAAGTTTTTTACAAAGTATTGTAAAAAGGTCTTCAAAAATTTCTGCATTAAAGTTTCCATGGTAATCCACTTGATTGGGAACAATATTGATATTTTTAACAATGTCAGGAACATCATTCCATTCTTTGACATTGTTTCTTTTCCTTTTTCAAATTCCTGGGGGCTTTATTAATGGATCACAAATATGAACAGAGTTTGAAATAAGTTCTCTATACAGTTTGTTCGAGGATCCATTCTGGAATACAATAATTACTTCAAAAATTACAACTAATGGACCATGCCCAGATACTAAGACAACACCATCAGGAAATTTTTCAGGTGCAAATTTCCGTAATAAAAATGGGACCCATGGAAATTTATGCTCAAAAATTCAATTTTTTTGATTTTGGTCGCAATTTACGAGACAGGAAGCGATTTTCTACTAAGGTGTTTCTATGACAGATCGAAAGCCCTGGTTCTTAGCTACAAGATGATATGTAAATTATTCCTGTAGCATCGATATCCGCGGAGATATTCACGTTTAAATTTTGAACGTCCGTGAAAAATTCAGCATAAATTTTCCGTAAATTTTCGTAATTCTGCTGGAAATTTTCATTATGTCACGATAAATTTCCAACAGAATTACGAAAATTTACGGAAAATTTACGCTGAATTTTTCACGGACGTTCAAAATTTAAACGTGAATATTTCCGCGGATATCGATGCTACAGGAATAATTTATATATTATCTTGTAGCCAAGAACCAGGACTTTCAATCTGTCATAGAAATACTTTAGTAAAAAATTGCTTCCTGTCTCGTAAATTGCAACCAAAGTCATAAAATTAAATTTTTGGGTGTAAATTTCTGTGGATCCCGTTTTTATTATGGAAATTTATGCCCCGAAAAATTTCCTGATGACCATGATGAGGAATCCATGTATTACGTGAAGTATAATGCAAATGACAGTAAGACTCATCAAGAAAAACTTCTGGACGACGTGGAATATTATTTTTACTTTCTAAGTTAGCAAAATGGAAGCGAAGATAGTGACAACGGAATGCAATATTATTTGGTGATTCATGAAAAAGATTTCTCCATTCTCCTTGACTGAAGAAATAGCCCAAGCAATGTAATAATCGAAGAAGTTGTCACTTGGAAAACGTATACCCTTGTTCAGAAAGAAACTGCTATAAAACTGGTGTAGAAATTAGTTCGTCCATTTTATTTGCCTTCAAAATTTTTGTACGTAAAAGTTCTGCAACATTTTCATCAGGTTGTAATTTAGGTCGCCCAAGAATTTTTGGCAGTGTAAATATACCATCATTACGTTTGTTCCAGTCTGCAACCACGCTCTCAACTGTTCTCTCAGTAATTCCCAACACTTTGACAACTTGCTTACGTAATGTAAGCGTCTGATGATCATTTTCTATGGAATTAGCTCCGGAAAAGTAGTTGTAAATATTAATTATCATTAATTTTTCAATCTCTGTAAGTGGTGCACCACTTCGTTTTAAGGGAGAAGGAAACATATTGAAGGAAAAAAAAAATTTAGTACCGAATACATTTGATTATATTGTACAAATCGTGTGAATTTCAAGCTGTCATGCTAGTTGCACAAAATTTTTACTTTGTGTGTAAATCATGTTTTTCTGGCGAGGAGCAAATCTTTTTGCACCAGACCATATCATTAAAATTGAGCAAATAATGAGTGATTAAAGTTCGAACGGAAATAATTCATCTATTAAAATTTGATCGCTCATTATTTGCTCAATTTTAATGATATAAGTCTGAAATTTTTACAGAAGATGCAAATCTTTCTTATCTTTCAGTTTGTTTATTATAATATTTGACATTTACTTAATAAAATAAAAAGTTATTACATTGTGACAATGATGAATTATTTCTGTTTTGTAATTTATAAACATTTTCTAGAATTATTGATGAAATAATTTCACCAGTTTCATCATAAAGTTTCACCAAGTTTCACCAATATCACCAGTTTCACCAGTTTCACCAATATCACCAGTTGCACCAGTTTCATCATAAAGTTTCACCAAGTTTTACCAATATCACCAGTTTTACCTGTTTCACCTGGTGAAAAAATTGACTTAGAGATGTACCATTGATGCACCAGTTTCACCAGTATCACCAGGTGTAATTAATTAGTTTCACCTGCATCTCTATTAAAAATATTTGGATTTTTTTAATTTTTTAATTTTTTAAAATATTAAAAAAAAATTTTATATTAGTAGAAAAAATGAAAAATGGTGAAAAATTTGATTTGAGAGAGTCAGATTCTGATGAAGACAAGCTAGAAAGTGACTCAATTATATCAAATATAGAT